CCTGCTGTCCTCGCCCGGCCGCCACCGCGGCCTTGCCGAGGGGCTGGACCTGGTTTTCAAGCTTAGAGGGGCGGCCTGGGACAGCCCTGCAAGGAGGGTGGTCCTTGTTTCAGTGAGCAGGTGGTGAGTCCCCTGTGTGAAGGAAACTAAGGAGGAGGAGGGGTCTACACATAACTACCTCCAGTGCCCTAAAATTGCTCAAAAGATGGTTTTCTGGGGTTTTTTTTTTGCTTGTTTTTAAGAAAAGCAGTATGCATTATCACTAATTTCAGATGTGACAAGCAACAGTCAAAAGCAGATAGTAGGAACTGCCACGATGGCGAAGAAAGGTTATGACAACATCATTGCACAGCCACCCGGCAGGCATGTGACAAGACTGAGGGCAGCGGCTCCCAGCTGTAACTGTACCCTAGAATTTATGGTGTGCGCAGTGTTCTTGCCAGCTAAATATAATTTGTTGGCTGTGATGTAGTCCTGGAAACTTCCTTGGCTGGGCTGACCCTTCCCAGCATCTCCTCTGCATCTGACTCTGCATTTCAACTCGTAACGGCAGACTCTCTGTGCCTTCTTCAAGCCTGTGTCACTCTAAGCATGCCAGAAAATACAAGTCAGTCTTCTGAAGTTGGGTTTGGGTTTGGGTTTTTTTGTGTCTTAACTTCAGTGAAGAAAAATTTAAATGTAAATGGCACAGTGTGCTTTCGAGCTTTCTTTGTTTTGGGGGAAGGCATCTTGCAAAGAATTAATTTAAAACAAATATGTTTAACTCCTGAAATACCTTTTCTTCTTTCAAGTATGTTTCTTTCTGTCTTAGTAAAAGCAGAGGTGAGGAGAAGAGGGAGAAAAATACCTAGTGCATACCCCCAGCTAAAAGGTTTGTCCTGTGATTTCACCTTTTTTTTTTTTGTGATAAAAGGTTTCATCTTGTTTAATGGAATCATAAAATACAGTTAAAAGAAATCTCTGCAGGTTATGTAGTCCAGTCTTCTGCTTAAAGCAGGGCTAATGCCAAAGCTAGACCATGGCACTCAGGGTTTGGACCGCTGGGTCTGAAAATCCTCATGGATGGAAATTCTGCAGTCTCCTTGGACAGCCCATTGCTGTGCCTAACTGCAATCACAGAGAAGATTTTTTTTCCTCATGTTTGAAATTGAAATTTGTCTTGATGTCACATGTGATTGTTTCACCTTGTCCTTTGCCCTGGTCCTCTGATCCTCTGAGGAGGGTCTCGTTCTCTTTAACCTCCAAACAGATAGCTGAAGGTAGCAGTCTGATGTCTCCACTTAGCTTCACTTCTGAGAATGAGCACAACAATCCCAGATCCCTGAGCCTCCTCCAATGCCATGTGTTCCAGCCACCTTACTTTCCTTTTCTTTGTTTGCTGCATTCATCTCATGTGTCTTGTCTTTTATAGGGAATGTGGCCGACTGTTGGGACAGGTGTTAATAGCACGAAGGGATGCTGCTGCTTTTAAATTAATAATGACTAGTGTCAGTGCCAGATATCCTTAAGAAATTGTCCTTAACAAGGTGTGTGAGATTTAATTCTCAGCTGCAGACAGAATAATATTCTACACCTGATTTAAAATACAGCAATATTAAAAATATTAGCAACTTCACTGAGGTTCCCTTTGTCAAGTATAAAGGCATTGCTGTGTAGCAATTCCCCATTCTTACAAGAATACTTCGCTATTCTGATGTGCCTAAGGGTTAATACTGACATAAGATAAGCATCACCAGGGGATGCAGAAAGCAGTGTGACTCCTGTTTTGCTTATGGGCATGCTGGGATGTGGAGAAATTACAGGACCTACTGAGTTCTAAATGAGCAATTCTCAAACTGTAAAGGGATCTGTGGACTCCTATCACATTTTGCAAGAGTGCAAGAAACCCCATGGAAACTTACTCTAGTCTTTTGGGTTTTGTTTTCTCCCCCATGCTCTCTCTCCTCACACTTAATAAGGTGCCTCTAAAAATTCTATGTTTTTTCATCATACCTGTAAGACTGAAGGGCCAAGGAAGAGAGCAGATAAGACATAAAACTATTATAGAAAAGGGAAGAATGTCTGGAAATCTGTGTGGTGGAGAAGGACCTGGGGGTGTTGTTTGACTGCTGGCTGAGTATAAGCCAGCAGTGTGCCCAGGTGGCCAAGAAGGCCAATGGCATCCTGGCCTGTATCAGGAATAGTGTGGTCAGCAGCACTAGGGAAGAGATCATTCCCCTGTACTCCGCACTGGTGTGGCTGCATCTTGAGTACTCTCTTTGGTTTTGGGCCCCTCACTACAAGAAAGACATTCAGATTCTGGAGTGTGTCCAGAGAAGGGCCACTAAGCTGGTGAGGGGTCTGGAGAACAAGTCTTACAAGGAGTGGCTGAGGGAACTGGGGTTGTTTCGCCTGGAGACAAGGAGGCTCAGGGGAGACCTTATTGCTCTCTACAACTACCTAAAAGGAGGTTGTAGAGAGGTGGGGTCGGTCTCTTCTTGCTAGTAACAAGAGATGGATTGTATTTTTGTTAAACTTTCTGTAACACGTGGCACCCAGTTCTCAGGAACTAGCACAGTATTTATTCATACCAACCAGGAATACAAACACAGACATTGAGACCATTTTCATGGAGCTCACAAAGGGCTTCGCAGATAATTCTATTATTCTATGATTCTAAAAATGTTAAAAACAACTGAATTCTAGCCAAGTTTTCATAATAACTCTCTGTTTATATTTTTGTTCTTTTATTCAAAAACATACTTTTAAATGGGGCATTAATATCTCCCCCAGTTGATCTGTGCTAGACAACCGTTTTCAGTGTACTACAATGTGCTGTTGTTAAGGTTTGAGAGACCCATAACAATTTATTGTCGTTTAGACAATCATTCTATCACCCAATGACCCCTCCCCACCTGGGAAAGGGAATCAGGAAAAACAAGGAAACCCGGGAGTTGAAGTATAAACAGATTTAATAGAGTAAGATTAGATAATTAACATCAGTAGCACTAAAGAACCGATATTGATCCTGATACCCATACAGAGTATGGAAAGGTTACACTCAGCCAATTCTATCAGTAGGAAGCTGTGCACTCCCAGCAGTTGACAGAAAATGTCAGACAGTCTGAGCGCTATGGCTTTGGGAGGAAGGGAAAGGCTCAGGGGTCCAGCACCGGGGCACGAAGTTCTCAAGGGAGAGAGAGAACTTCGCAGCAAACTTTCTAATTTATATTGATGTTCATGGTATGAAATTATTCTGCCGGCTTGGGTCAAGTGCTCGGGTCTCGCTCCTCCTCATCCCTGCACCTGGTGAGCTCAAAAGCACTGACACCTTGAAACCCACACACCATCGCTGGCTGTAAAGTAAATATTTTCAGAAATTCAGACACCAGAGTCTTCTAAAAGTGTACTCTTCCCAAGTGTTAGAAGATAAATTAGTCCTGTGTCGCTCAAACCAGGACAGCTGTGTAAACTTCTTTTAGCAGTAATGTGCATAACTGTTTTGTTTATGGTGCTTTAATCATTATGGAGCAAGAGAAGAATGGGTTGTTAGGACAGCAAACTGGAAAGGCAAATAGCAACAAAGATAGGGTACGGTACTAGAAAATACCAATGGTCTTCCAACACAGTATGGAGAACGCACAATATTGGGTAGTGCTCCTTGTTCCCAGGAAAGGCTGAAACTAAGAATACGGAAGGAATGCTATAACCCAAACGAGCTAGCCTAGAGAGGAAGGTTAAAGGAGGATAGCGTGACCTCCTCAAGGAGCTTCTGTTGGAGATGAGGAAACGCAGAAAAATGCAGCAGGACTATCCCATGGAGAACCAAGAGATGAATGCCTTCACACCTTGCAAGTTTTGAGAGTAGTGGTGTCCTAGATATCAGAACTAAAGCACATGCAGTAGTAGACAGTTTCTCCAGGCTACTCAGCCTCTAGCTGTACATTACAATGAAATACCAGAGCTGACATCTAAAGTCACAGGCTACAGGACACACCAGGGCTGGGAGAGGAATTGCACCCTTAGAACACATGCGGACTGGCAGGCTGCAAGTTCTACCTGCTGAGGGTTGCATTCTGAAAGGAGCTGAAAGACAACAGCATCTAACAGGGTTATTTCCTTTCTACTGTCCTCCATTCTTCTTTTTCCCTTTTTGTATCCTATTTTTTTGTCTACATTTTTTTTTTCCAGTTAATGC